GAGATAAGGATAAACATGGGATATTATCCATGGGATAAAGTACAAATACATTAACCAAGAAAGTTATTTTTTCAAAGGTTTTGACATCCATCTGGTTTCTTGAATTCTTGTATATTTAGAACAAGTGAAGAAAACTAGCGTTGATTTGTTTTGGCTCTATTTAGATATATTTTTTTCAATCTTAAAGTGGTATAAAATGGTCTACTAGTAGAATGAAATGATTTCCTTTTTTATCAGGTCAAAGAAGACAACCAAGAGATAGCAAGCATGGATCGAAGGTAAATATTACGAATTATAAGTTGTCAAACTTATAAGACGATTTTTTATATAAACAAGACTAGTTTTTGGAAGGTAATTGACTGTGGAGTGGTTGAAATATAACGATTATTACATTAATAACAATTGACTATACTTGAACTTCCAGAACAGGCGGAAATAACCAAGTTCCTATGATAGAAACAATAGTCAAGAATAAACTATCAATGTACAATAGATTCGAGGCTATTATGAATTTTAAGTATAGTTAATACTAAATGACGTTTTAACCATAGGATTGGTGAGCTAAGAGAAAAAATAGAATCTTTAAATTCTGAGATTCAACAACTTGATATGGACTTAGAGGAACATCAAGGTTAGTCCTACTAAATTAAAAAAAGTTGTACTAAAAACACACAAAAAATGAACAAAGATGAATGTTATTTTTTCAATGTAGTCAACATTTCAAAACAAACAAACAATTAATTAGAGTAATCGCACTTAAATCGGACACTGTTGCAAAACGCACTGCGCATGCCCACAGCTTTCCCGCCAGTGAGCGCTCGTGTCTTGAAATCTGTAAACAGAGCGCCTGGCGATTTACAGCGCAGAAAACACTACGAAAAACGACGAAAATCCTCATTTTCTCAAAATAGAAATAACAAGATAAAAATAGAAACTACATACTAAAAGGTCCTATCATGAACAATGATTGATGGAAATATGAATCTTATATATCGGTGAACGAGCTTATAAATTGTAAAAAACTTTCACAAAAATCGCTGTACCAAGGAAATTATGCAGATTTCAGCGGGAACAGTTGACATGCGCAGTGAGGTTTTCACCAGTGTCCTTAAACCGTGCAACTGTACAAAATCGAAGTGGTACTAATTTGTACTAAAAGTGGACCTGAAGCAAGACGGTATTGAATGCTTCATTTGTATCAATTCAATTTAATTTGCGCACCGCATGCACGATTTACTAAAATACAACTAAATAGAACTATTTAGTTTGTACAGCTGCACGGATTAAGTGCGATCACTCTATCAATTCAATTTAATTTGCGCACCGCATGCACGATTTACTAAATGCAACTAAATAGAACTATTTAGTCTSTACAGTTGCACGGATTAAGTGAGATAACTGTACTAAACTCATGAATAAAAAAGGTGGTAATGGCAATGTAGTGTAGATTAGAAAATAGAAAACAAAGTAATTCATACAATTTAGCACTATTTAATTATTAAGGTTTTTCATAGTTTTAGTGTTTACACATTGTTTTTGGTACTACAGGAGAAAGAAATCTAAAATATAAAGAGCTGAAGAAGAGAGAAGAATCCATGCAGGGTACAGCAAACATCTTGGTGTGGTTGAATACTTACTTTTGCCACTAACAGTAATGTTGTTTGTCCATAGAATTTCTTGAAACATTTGAAGAAAATAAAACTAACGAACTGGTAAGATTACAACAGCTAATTAGGTTATACTATACAAAATAGAGAAGCAAACTAGAGTGAAACACTGGAAAAATCGCTCGCTTTAAAGGTTGTAAATTTAATGTAAATATGATGTAAGTGTCCAAAATTCTGTAAATTCTGTAAATGATTTCTATTAGATTTACAGAATTTTGGACACTTACATCAAATTTACATCAAATTTACAACCTTTAAAGCGCGCGATTATTTCCAGTGAAACAAAACTTGACTATTTAAAAAAAAGTGTGATAGTCAAATATACTTATTTCAAAAAAGGTTGTCGGATAAAATGGAAAATGTCAATTGTCAAATGGCGATTGCACGACCAAAAGGAGCCATGGGTTTTGCTAATTAATGGGAAATAACAACTGATTTATGCTGTAAGATGGTCTGTGGTAAACATTGGCTTCATTTAGTCTCCATTTCTATGTAAGGTGAATCCAATAGGTGAAATTTTTTTAACCATAGCCCCTTTCGGTCGTTCAATCTCCCTTCGACAATCGCCGTTTTCCCCGACAACGTTTTGAAATAGGTGCATACGCAAAAGAAAGCAATGAATTTTCGAGTTGTTCGAATGTACATCATTTTGCTCAAACAACTCGAAATTTTAGGTTAAGATTTTATTGAAACTTCGTCAGTATGTCAATTATATTATTAAGAAATGATTCTGAAAATTTTATTACAATCTCTGCGATTAGTTTCGAGAAAATTAACTTTGAAGAAAAATGAAGGTGTTTTTATTTTGCATTGTTTATCCAAATGGCTTCGCTTTTTGGCAAATTAATTTATCAACAAGAATTATCGATAATCACTGTTACTTCTGTGAAAGTTTGAGTGCAATTTGCGACGTAGTTGGAGTTTAAAAATTCGTGCGAAGCGCTATTTATTACGATCGAAACACCTTAAACAAGGCGTTACATGACTGACCCTGATGTATGTCTGTGTTTTTTAGAGTCGTAAGAAGGAGTTGGAAAGCAATGTTGTAGGATTACTTGAGAAAATGAGTAGAGTAAGTACAGCTTACAGCCATTGAACATTTCACAACAAGAGGAGCCGATGGGTTCCTGGGAGAGCTGTCAGTCACGACTGGTTACGGGCAAAGTTATAATGCATTCAGAAATAGTATTTTTGAAATCACGGAGAAGAATAGGTTCGAGGAATTTTTCTCAGGAAACTCTTCAAGACCTTTGCAAGAAGAAAATTCCCGAATATCTCTTAAATGCTCAAGTGCTTTAACGGCCGTAAGAGAGAGTTTTTGTATAGTTTAAAACACGATCTCGAGTGTTTTAAACGGCTTAAAAAACTCCAACACTAATTTGAAACTCAAATCCGTTAAATTTCTTGGAGAAATTGCCGTACAAATACGTTCAGAGATAAATGGGGCAAACTGATCATGCGCGAATCACTTTACAAAGCACTTTTGTCATCCCACATTGAATACGCATAAAGTAAAAGAGAAGCGCTCTTGGCCGTTCACTGAATTCGATTGACATCCTGCATTGGTCAATGATCAGGTTTCAAACCTGAGACCTTTGCTAGGGTCATGGACCTTTATATCTGATAAAGGTCACCCTTATTAGTATTCTTTATATAAAGAATACTAATAAGGAGTGTTTTATCAGATATAAAGGTCCATGCATGTGACCAAATAGGCTCATTCTATTGGCCTAGTAGCTCATTAATTATGTATGACTTTTTTAACTCAATTTAAAATTCTAGTTCTAAATCGTTTTCGTAGAAGAAAATTTGTATAAATATAGTATAGAACAGTTTTTAGAAGAAC